TGTTGTTTTATGAGTGCATTACAGCCGCTGTTTAAAAGTATTGTAAATGTATTTGAAGCGTTGCAAAACGATACCATGACAACGTTAGATCTTCGTGAACCCGACAAATCACAGTGAACTAACTGTAATCAAGAGATACATATAAAATTATGTGAAGCATTATCGCTTTTTTAAATTGTTTATTTTTTAAAACCCAGTGGTTCGTTATGAGATCATTACTGAATTCATCCGCATGGCCTAACACTTTCTGGACTTGATCGAAATCGTGTCGTACGGGTAGTCCGAGTTCTATTCTTAGTAGGTTTGATTTTGGCTCGTTGTAACGCAATCGTAATAAGAAACGTCTAATATTTACAACACAATGTTCGTATAAATCGGGATTACCAAGAAAGTGTCATTTTACTTAATAGAATACAGTTACTGAGCGAATGGCTGATTACATCTGTGTGTAATCCGCATGCAGTATCTCGCTATTAGATTCGTAAGTCCAGTAGAATATCACTGTTCACTCAATACACAAATCGCTAAAGCACACATATATAGGAGGGGAAATAGAAAATGTGACAATGATAATGGGGATATGTAGGCCAAGGCTAACTGAATCAGTATGGTTTTTGTTGCTTTTCGAAACAAATGTTCTCAAAGAATAATACTAAATTATAAGGTACGTTTGTCATATAGCTTACAAAGTAACGTTGTTCGTACAGTATGATTGGATTTTACTAAGTAAATGGTTCAGTGTCAGTAATTTTCCAATCTTGCGAACGAGCATGAACTTATACAACACGAAAGAATATTTTTTCTTATAGTATTGCGTGTATATTTGATAGAACACAAGAGTTCGCAGAAATCATGATCAGTTTATTTTCCCAATGTTCCTGGATCTGGGCATCTTATGTCTAAGGAGTTGCAATTATATTAGATTTTCTCTGTTAATGAGACCAAGAACACCCTTTGGATATATTATATTATCGTATAAATATATTACAACTGTAATTAAATGATATAATAATATCACTAAAGATTCTAACCTACCCGTCTTTTACACTTACCTATGTATGTCTTCGATCATCGGCATTTAAGGTTCTTGGTCAAAAATAAAACCTCAAAAGCTTGGGCTTTTATGCGTTTATTCTATCAGTGTGCTTCATTAATGCTTTGGAGCACGTGCATGGGACTTGTGAGGTTTCATGAATTGTTTGTTTGTTTTTAATTATGCACAAAGCTACACAAGGGCTATCTGTGCTCTGCCCACCACGGATATCGAAACCCGGTTTCTAGCGTTGTAAGTCCGCAGACATACCGCTGTGCCTCTGGGGGGCAGGGTTTTATGAAGATCGATATATTTTGGGACTTACTTACTGAATGATACATGTCCACGTTGCCTCTTATAGTGCTGTGAAAACATATAACACGTTGTATATAAACAAACATCACTTATCAAACAGGTATTCACGAGGATTAATCATTGTACATGTTTGTTTTTTGTTGTTTTTTTTTAACAATACACGAGGCTTAACATTCTTAACTTTGTACTGAGTTCCTGATTTGTTTATAGCCGCTTATGTGACATGTCCGGAAGACCGCGGGGAACTGACAGAACAGCGAGTAATCTACAGCCCAGACGACACTATCAGTTTATCTCTGGAGTACGGATACGGGTAAGCAGAAAAAGGAATTTTATATAACCTTCCTGCGGAAAGGAAGGTTAATTAACTCTAATACTTCGCTCTTATTGTTCCAGACTACAACATCACACTTGCCTGTTCGATGCAAAACAAACCAGTAGAAACTGGATTGCGTATATATTACTTAGAAATACTCGACAACACTTTATTAAAGTTACAAAAACAGTAGAAAGCCGTGAAACATCAGTAATTTAGTTAGTCTTAATGAGTTAATTTTTAACAGCCTAAAATCTAAAGCTAAGTTACTAGGCCTTAATTTGATTAACAACTGTTTAAATTGGTTTAAGAATAAAAATATGATGTGAATTTGCTTAAGAACTTACAATGATAGATTGAATCTGTTTCCTGTTTGAAGTGTAAACAGTATAGTGGTTGACAGAAACGGCGAAACGTCATTGACGAGAAGTGAGACCACTCCTGATGAGCTCTCTTCTCCGAGATATTGAGTAGATTCTGCCACCTTTCCTGTACTGTTTTCTTCTGCACAAAGGTGTTCCTGCTTTGTTCATTTACTTAAAAAGTACCTTTATATATATATATATATAACATTTACAAATTGTGTTATCTTAAAATCGATGCGTGAGGACGCACATAAATATATATTTAGTGTGAAAAGTATTTTTATGATCTTTCCAGGAAAAATCAGTTGCCGACCAATGGCCATTCCGCCACAACTACCGATTCTGGAGATTATACGGTAAGATATTACTCTGATATAACCTTACCTTCAGAAATAATAAGTTTATCTTCACTTCAATGAGATTACACGGGTTATGTCTCTTTGGGCATTAGAAAAACCACCGCAAGAAAAAAGTAGTACCAGTTTTCTCATACGACTAGGTTGAGTGACAACGATAAACAGATGAATTGGTTATTGAGTACAGAAGGTCAAAGGTCAGGATTATATAAACAAAAACAAAAGTGATGCAGAGACGTAAAATCTGCTTATCGAAATACAAATTCCGAGAACCATTTAATTTAGGCTCTTGAAGAAGGAACTGTGGAAGGGCAAACTTTCGTAAACGTTGGTGTACAAACTGGCATCGGTAGATAAAGCATACTTCAACGAAGCTGCCAAGGATATATTGAAACAAATTAAAGTAATAGCAGGTATATTTGACAGGATATACGTACGTTTTTATTTTTCATCTTTGTGATCAGTATAAAGAAGAAAATGTTATTTTTTTTTATCAATGGAATTGAGAAATGGCTGTTCTGTCAACTTTTTGATAATCGGAAATGACAAACCGTTGTGTTTTATCTCTATGATCAACAGAAATGAGAAACCGTTGTGTTTTATCTCTATGATCAACAGAAATGACAAACCGTTGTGTTTTATCTCTGTAATCAACAGAAATGACAAACCGTTGTGTTTTATTTCTATGATTAACAGAAGTGAGAAACGTTTGTTGACGATGAACAAAGGCATGGTCTAGAAAACTGTCAGTTTCTCGACTACGAACAGAGAAGTATCTTATATAACCTATCGAGGATAATGTAGAACTAAGAACACATTATCATCATTGTATATCTGTTACTTGGTAACTGATCATTTATCCAGTTACTTAAATTATGGACTCTCCATTGTTTAATCCCATTGTTCTTTTGTTATTGTTACACCACTTGACCATATGCCTGGTTTCAACTAACACGTAATGTTTTGATCTTTCCTAAAGTCTGACAAGGCTAATCTCTATCTTGCATGAAAGCTGTTTTTTTTTCTTGTATTTTAATCGGCATAGCATTACACGTTAAAGAGATACAGGATAGTGTAGGAAGGATAGGAAAAAGTGGCATTTGCTTGATGATATGTATATGATATGCTATTATGAGAAACTGAGAGACGTCATTAATAAATTATCTTTTATTAGAAATAGGCAGTTTAAAACTTCATTATCAATATCAGTGAATTTCGGCCAACGAATGGTTTGTGTTAATGGGTCACTATCAGTCCGCAGCTACCGCATCATATATATTATGTATATCCACGATAGGTAGTCTTCAACATAATTACAAAATGGAAACTATGAGAAAAATATCGTATCTTAACAACGTCCTTTAATCAAGCTCTTCAAAGAAAAGAGGGTAAAGTTTGTGCGCTTATATCAACTGTTCAAAAATGTCGTTACGGGTCATTGTGACCTCACCAAGATGTTTTAGTAATGCATTGTTTAATTATTAAAAAATTTTTCTAGCTTACAGCTTCATATTTTACTGGTAACTCGAATTTTAACAAAAGAACGAGTTTGAATGGAAACTGATATATGTATGAGTGCGTGTGTTCTTTGGTTTCATGCAGAAGCCTAATTAGATATTATAATTTTTTATCTTGCAGGATTCTAAACGTCGATTCCTCTGTTGTCCAGCTGCAGTAACAGTGGCTCATCTCAAGAAGTTTATCACCATGAAATACGGTCTTACTCAATCGTACATGGTGTGTTTATATTCATTTTATATAGGCCTAAGAAATTGCACCATACACGTAACCTTCTGTGGAGTAGTGCACTTGGTAACCCACGTGTTTTAGTTCATTATGTGGTGGCTTGTTTCTAACATGTGAAATACAAACTTGTATGAGTGGCATTTTTAGTGACATTAAGAAGTAAAGCAAGCTAAAACTTAGCAGCCTCGGTAAGCCTAATTTGCGTCCTATTTTCATAGCTTTGCATTATAACAGTAGCCAGCTACACAAGTATTTTAAGTTATAGTGTTCAAGAGGTGTTCGGAAAGAAACGGGATTTTTTTCTATACTTTTGCGTAAATGATTGCGTTAATAGGTCAGTACCTGTCCGCTGCAAGCCACAACGTATGCTATGTATTTCCACAATGGTGGCGAGCAACGCAGTTCAAAGGTGGCAATTACGAAAGACATTCCTTTAGAAGAGTTAAAAAATATTTTCGGTAATGACTCCATCCTGTTGGTCTTCTTCAGACAACTGATGTTCTTAAGCAGTTGTTCGCATTTAGATTTGTAACCCGTAATTTTCCGAACAAATATGATGAAGCTCACGGAACGATGAAGAAGTGATGTCTAATAGCATACATCCTCAAGTCCGTTGGTTTATTTTTCTGGCAGTAATCTGATATTATTGGTCAACAAGAAATTAGGTCATTTTCTTTTCCAAACATCCTTCGGTGAGTTGCGTCTGTGTATGGGCGCATAGTTTATGTATATACTGTGTGACACAAAAAGATACAAACCAATTTATTGATGTCTGGTTACATGCACAACTATCGTAAACCATTTAAAGTTTAACGAAGCAAAATAACTGTCCGCATGGTTTATGTATATACTGTGTGACATAAAAAGATACAAACCAATTTATTAATGTCTGGTTACATGCACAACTATCGTAAACCATTTAAAGTTTAACGAAGCAAAATAACTGTCCGCATGGTTTATGTATATACTGTGTAACATAAAAAGATACAAACCAATTTATTGATGTATGGTTACATGCACAACTATCGTAAACCATTTAAAGTTTAACGAAGCAAAATAACTGTCGTATATATTATGAGTATTTCTTTACGAGTGACAGCATGTGCAGACTGATAGGTATTATGATACACATATGTCTCAAAGTTGACACTAAATTATGATTTTTATATCCGGTCAATATGTACCGTATTTTTCGGAATATAAGACGCACCGGTGTATAAAACGCGCCTTTATTTTGAAGACAAAGTTTTTTTGGGGAAAAAAAGCTACAGTCGCATTTGAAAGATTTTTATTGAACAAAAATTCAATTTGATACTTAAAATTAAGTATAT